CACTGTGCCCTCAAATTCACCTGGACCGTTTCTGACACCTGCCTTCCCTTCCTGGACCTTTCTGTCTCCATTTCCAGTAACCGACTCACCACTGACAACCATTTCAAATGCACTGAGTCCCACAATTACTTCAACTACACTTCCTCTCACCCACTCTTCCGCAAAAATGCAGTTCCTCCACTCAGCTGCATCTGCTCCCAGTGTGAGGCGTTCTGCTCAGGGACTTCCCAGACATCCTCCTACTTTAGGGACTGTAGTTTCCCTTCCTCTGTTATTATGGACGCCCTCAACTGCATCTTCCCCCATTTCCCATGCTTCTGCCTTGAAACCCTCTTTTCCCCGCCCGCGCCCCCCCACACCCCACCACACCCCACAACAATAAGGATTGAGACCCCTTAGGCCTCACATACCACCCTACCAACTGTCGAATCCAATGCATCATCCTCTGACATTTCTGCCACCTACAATCAGACCCCATCACCAAAAAGATATTTCCCTCCCACCCCTGTCTGCTTTCTACAGGGACCATTCACTCCGCGACTCCCTCATCAGCTCCATACTCCCCACCAAGCCCTCCATCAGACCCGGTACCTTTCTCTGCGACCGCAGGAGATGCTACACCTCCCTCTCACCTCCATCAAAGGCCCCAAACAATCCTTCCAAATCTACCAGAGATTCACCTGCAGTTCATCTACCCACATCTACTGTATCCATTGCTCCTGATGCGGTCTCCTCTATATCGGGGAGACCAAACATAGACTCGGGGACCGGTTCACAGGGAACCTGTGCTCTGCACGCACCTACCAACCCGACCTTCCGGTTGCCATCCATTTTAATTCCCCCTCCCACTCCCCTGGTGACATGTCCATCCTTGGCCTCCTCCACTGTCAGAGTACGGCAAATATAAACTGGATTAACAACACCTCATATTTTGCCTTGGGAGCTTGCAGCCCAATGGCCTGAATGCTGAATTCACCAGCTTCAAAATCTCTCCACCCCCAACCTGACCATTTTCCAACTTGCCTATCCGCTCCACCCTTCCCACTGACCAACCACAATAACTCACTAACTGCTTCCACTTATCTGCATCCCACGTAGCGCCCCCTTCCCAACCGCCGCACGCGCGCGCGTGCACACACTCACACACCCCACCGCACCGCCGCCACCCCAGCATCACCCCCCTCCCCCTATTTATTTCTGGGTTCCCCAGTCCTGACGAAGGGTTTCAGCCTGAAACGTTGACTTCCCTGCTCCTCGGATGCTGTCTGACCTGCTGTGCTTTTCCGGCTCCACATTTGTTGACTCCCTCTAAATTTTTCCTATTCATACTCTGTCCAAATGTAACTCATCTGAGAAACAGCCCTCCTGGGCATTAGACCCCAGTTGTTAGGAAGGAGAACTTTACACAGTGTCTACAAAGGGAAAATATAATTTAATGAAATAACGCATGTGGATTCTTCAAGACTAAGTTATGATGAACCAACCTGATAGAATTATTTGAAAACATAATTAAAAGGCTAATGTAGATGATGTACATTTGGATTTTTAAAAACGCCTTTGATAAGCTATCAAATGTTAAGCATATGACAAAAGTTGGGTCATGTGGAGTCAGGAGTATAGCTAACACTGACAATGCATGCAACTTATTATAAGATATTGGAAAAGTTTCAAGATAGGCAGCTAGACTCTAAATGAAATTTAACATAGGTAATTGTGAGGAGATACACTTTGGTAAAATAGAAAATTCACTTGTACCTTAGAAAATAAGAAACGGAAAGGAGCTAAATTGCAAAGGGAACTTGGAGATACAGGTGAACAAATCGCTAAAGTCTTTGTTTCAGATTAGCAAGACAATTGAAAATGCTAGTAAAACAATTTTTAGTTTTTGCAGATACAGAATTCAAAAGTAACAAAATTCTGTTAAACTTGTATATGATGTGGCACGCTGTACTTAGCATTATGGTCTTCATGTTACAAAAGTGACAGAAAAGCACTGGAGAAAATTCAAAAGAAATTTAGAAAGTTGGGGCCATAAGTACAAGCTGGTTATAAATCAATCCAAGAACAAAAAAATGACAATTTATTTACTCACCATTTGGAATATGCACCTCATTCTCAAAAGAAGTAGTTGAGGCAAATCATTTGTCGAAATTTCTTTTGACAGTATTTAAATATGTGAGAGAAAAGGGAATATAAAGATGGTTTGAAAGGCTGAATTAAGATTAATAAAATGGGAGGAGACTTGTGTGGAGTATTAATATCAGAATGGCCTATTTGGGTCAAATACCCTTTTTCTCAGCTGTACGGTAAGGTAATGTTTAATGTTGCCTATTTAGCATTGTTTCACTTAAACGTTAAAAGATAGTGGGCCCGGTAATCTTGTTGAGCTTTGTGAGATTTGTTTTAACACTTTCCCATTTGATTAGTGCCATTTTGGTGCAGCCTTTTCTCCTCTGTGACTGTTTTGACTCAAAGCCATTCCCTGTGCCCAGCGTTCCAATGTGCAGCCTCTCCCTGTCCCCAACCCTTTTAATTTGTGGCCACTCCCCTGAGTTGGAGCTCATGGTGTTGCTGTCCAAGGTGTCAAGTTCCTGATTGCCTTTTTGAGTCACCACTTGTTCTGAGCTATGTCATCAGCTTTTTAACAGTCACCAGGAACAAACCATGATGTCTCTTCTTGCTGGCAGTGACCATCTCCAGGATCCCCCAAAATGCCATGGAGCTGCTTCTTTTGACTGGCTGCAGGACCTTGGCATTCCTCCCAAGCTTCCTGGCCAGCAGGGTGTTGGTCATCACTGAGTTTGGTAGCAGCCTCCCCTCCTTTGCGAAGACCGCGAGTTGGGGGTCAGGGAGGGAAAGCACATCTGATGATCAGGGATCATTGATATATTCTTTTAATGACTTTAATGTTTCATTGTTTTGAGCATTTACTGTATCTTCTAAAATGTAACACAAATTGTTGGAAGTGCATATGTCCAACTATAAGTTACAACAGGATTGAAGTGTAGTGTTGCATCTTTTAGTGAAGTAGTTTATGATGCTGAATTGATTCATGCAAATAACGATGACTTAGAGGAAAACACTCAATGCATCAAACTGTACCCCAACAAACAATTCAGCATCTTCTCAATGTAACTATGGTGCAAGCTGCTTTAATCTACCAGTAAAAAGTATGGTGAATGGGTTGTGTGCATTTAATCAATTTGTCATTAAAATTGTGGATGGGAGTGAGTCAAGGTTTACAACCAAGTTTTTTTCATATGGATGGTTTCGGTGTTTGGGGAGGTGGTGGCATAGCGTTAATATCACTGACTATTAAGCAGTAATATCACTGTCTAGTAATCCAGAGATCTAAGACTAATCGTCTGCAGATGTGGGTTAAAATACCACCGCAGCAGCTGGTGAAATTTAAATTTTGTTAGTCAATCTGGAGTGTGAAGCAGTTCTGTACTGCGAACCATGATAACTGTAACCAGTTGTTGTAAAAGGCCATCTAGTATATTAAAGCCCTTAAGGGAAGGAAATCTGCCATCCCTACTCCGTCTAGCTCACGTGTGACTCCAGACCCACAACAGTGTGGTTGGTTCTTGCCTGCCCTCTGAAATGGCCTAGCAAGCAACTCAGTTCAAGGGCACGTAAGATTGAGTAGTGAAAGTTGACCTTGACAATGATGCTCACGTATTCTGAAGCAAAAGAAAAGTATACAAAACGATGCTATAAGTGTATTTAAGAAAGAAAGAGGCAAGTTAGGTGTCACCAAGAGACAATAAAAAGATTGTTTTCTCGAGAAGTAGGGTGGAATTGAAGTTGGATAGCCAAGAGAAAATGAGCAGAGTATTAGCATCAATCTGTATCCACTTGGCCATTTTACTCGCACTACAAGAGAGCCTACGGTGAAAAATGTGACACTGGTGTTTTGGAAGTGGGATTGTACTTCTGAAGTTCACTTCCCAGTGTGAAATATACATCAATTAAATGATCTAACTTCCCAGTTAATCAGTGAAATCTTAAGTGTTGAGTTCTTCTGCTGAATACTATTATGTAAATAAGACCTGTAATATAATTCATGTTCTGTCGAAGTTACACTGGGATAATAAATTCTAAAATGTATCATCTATTGCAGTTGCATTAGATGAGCATTTATTCACAGGCTATTGCTTAAGTTAATAAATATTTCAACTAAATAACTTCAGTAAAGAAATTAAAGGTAGTGATATAGTAATGGAAAAGAGAAATCTGTTTTGTGATAATAATAAAGAACTGCAGATGTTGTAAATCTGAAACCAAAACCGAAATTGCTGGAGAAACTCAGTAGGCAGCATCTGTGGAGAGAGAATCAAAGTTCATGTTTTGCGTCTGATACTTCAGAACAGTTCATTCTTTTTCTCTGTCCATTTCTGAAGAAGTCATATCGGACCCAAGCAACTAACTCTGTTTTTCTCCGTTGATGCTGCCAGATCTGCTGAGTTTCTTCAGCATTTTCTGTTTTTCTTTCAGATTTCCAGCATGTGCAGTATTTATGTTTTATGTAATAACTGCAAACGGGGGAGAGTCACACCTAGCACAAAGGGAAAAATCGGTTGTTAGAGGCCAGTAATCTAAGCTCCAGGTGTCTCTGCAGGAGTTGCTCAGAAAAGTGTTCTAGGCCCAACCATTAATTTCAAATTTTGATTCAAATTTGTTTTTAACAAGTTTTTTTTATTAGATAAATGGGAAGATCTGTTTAACTCTGCTTAGTTATTTAGTTTTGTGCCAGACTTTAGTTGCTACGGCAAATTGTGATGCAGTAGCTCCCACTTAGCCTTCACATTCAAATGGAAGTACTTCATTTTCATCACTTTGCCCATTTGCTGCTTTGTCAAGGCAGCCCACTGAAAAGACATTCTCTATGGAAATATTACAGTGATTATGATTAGACTACACCATGATTATTTGCACATCATCTCAATTTACTATGGCAATAGACCATAATTATCATTAATGATGCTTCTTCTTCAAAGGTCTTTCATGTCAATCCGGAGTGAATTGATACCATTTCTGGTCCGAAAGCAGTTTGCAGCTCCTGGCTCTTCTCAGCTTTCTAAAACTGGTGCCAATGAAGATCGGAAGAAAAACTCCAAATCTATAGGTTAGTCCTTATAGCTTAAAAGAGTTTTACAAGTGTAGAAGGATCGCAACCTCAGCCTGCACTAAATCAAAAAGTGGTTTGATAATTTTTTTAACTTTATTCAAAAGACACTGTATATTCATACATTCTACAGGGTGTATTTTCCATTTACAGATTGTTTCTCTAGACCCCATGAAAGAATGCTGATTAGGGGGTCTTCTTTGTCTTTCTGTTACTTCAACAAAACTAAATATTCTAAAATAGCTTTACATGTTTAAATGAATAAAAATTAATTTGTTGTCCAAATAAGTTTTTAATTTAAAATATCTTTGAAAAAGAATATGCTGCACTTCACACTGATGCAATGCTGTTTATATTTTCAATGCAGCGTTTACAAGAGTATACATTGATAGCTTATAATTATACAGTATTTTAACCACATTAAATAGAAGAACATTCCTGTAGTTCTATGTAAAAAAAAACTATAGGTCACTTGCTCCAGCAGACACATCTTTCAGAATCTGTGACACTGAATTAGTTGTCATAACATTGAGTTTTTTTTTGTCCTGATCCTAGGTCACTATTTTGAGTTTAGAAGTAGAAACTCCAAAGATTAGAACTGAAGAGCACTGTAGCCTATTTTACATTGTCATAGTGAATTCCTGATGTTAGTCAATTATGGTGGGCAACGTAATGAGGCCTTGTTCTGTCTTAAGATGGGTCAAACCTTTGTAATATCCTTATGGACTTTTGGACAGCACTGTTATTTTAGGACACAAAGTGAGCCAACAACCACAACTCTTTTCTGAAAGCTAAAATCTTTCATTGCATTTCTTACACAGCATCTAAAATATGCTTATGTAAATGGTGCAGTTCTTAATATCCTTCAACAACTAAAAGCCTGTAATGTAAAAAATAAATGAGATTAGGATTTGTCCTTTTTCACCAGGTCAAATATTCCGCAGCAGACTCAACCTATCCTACCAGAGCCAGGGTTCTGAACCCAGTTGAACTGAACATTCTACACCAGTGGTCTTTTGTATAATCCACTCATTTGCTGCATTTACCTCTTGACTCAGATAAAGCCTGGGAAAGTTACAGGATGCAGTAGGCTTATTGTCTCATGCTATTAATGTAACTAATCTGGAAACACAAGAGAGTTGGGGAACTATATCACTGTCCCTATGAAAGAAGTAGAGTATTGGTTTCAACTTTTTGAAAAGAAAAAGCAACTTTAGAATTTTGATCAGTTGTAGCATTGTATTTTTTTTTCATCTTGTATTTTTGGAAGGGGTAATTCTTTTGTTCAGTGTGTATGGTCTCCAGAAGTGTAGTTCTATTAGAAATGAATGCAGTATTGCTAAAACTGTGGTTGGAAGGGCATTGTTCGGTTGAGAACTACGTTGTTTTTCTAAAACAAAATTACTTTAAAATAAAACATCGCTTAAAAAGGCAAACACAAAGAAGTGCTGTTCACTGTGGCTGTCTTTCATGCTATTAATATAGCAGCATTGCATTTGCAATCTCTGTTTGGTATTTGGATTATTCATAAGAATTTAACCTGATTAAATAGATTGGTGTGGAAAACTCAATTCTAATTTTGGATCTTGAACCTGGATTTCAATAGAAGTTTCTCTATTTTTCAAAGGTATTTTGGCAGCTTTGACTATTCCTATCTGACCATTTTCTAGTTGGTACAGTTCCAGACTCAAATGCAGCTAAAACAAGTATAGCATCTTCAGTACCAACCTGAAAAACGACAAGGATAGCTAGTGTGGAGAATGGAAACAGAGTCATGATATGCAATGATATACTCCTGAGTTAAAAGCACTAATTCCTGACAGGAGGAGGTGCAGAGGACTTAAGCCTGCATCCAGTTTGTACAGTATATAATGAGGAGCACTTAAAGATATCTAAAATATCAAGGTAACCATTTTCAGTACAAACAAAAGTAATGTTTAATGTGTGTCCTAATGATGATAATGAATTTTACGCTTCTCCAGGATTGTGCTTTAACTCGGACTGTTTCAGAATTTTAATTCATCCTCATAGTATGATCTTTTGTTCACTGTGTTACTTCACAGTTTGCAGTCATTTTGCTTACCATTCATTGTGCTTAAAAGTCTGTATTTTGCATTAAAGATATATTAAGTTATGCAAAAGAAGATGATCTTCTGAATTTAGCCAGAGGTAAATCATTTTGGAATGATCACCATGGAGATATGAATGATCCATATCACGGAACCAAGCTTCGTTGCTATGTTCATATTATGAAGGAAGGGATGTGCTATCGTGTAAATACTCTAGCTTCGTATATTGAAGCTAACCGACAGGTAAGAAGTCTTCCTTAATAACACAATTGCTTTTTTACTTAAGTGGCTGTGTATTTAAAGATTGCTCTTCATCTTCATTACATGGAACAAAATTGGTCAATAAATATTTATTATAATTAACATCCCTTTTATTTATTGGTATATATTGCTGATCATTTTTATGTTTTGGAGGGACGTGAAATATTGAAAATGTATTTTTAAACATTAACTTGAACGACAAAGAGATTTGGAGGAGATGACAATAACTTAACTCAGCAATGTAAGAGAGTAGAATTTGCTTAGAAGGTAGAGAACCATGAGCACTCAGCTTCATTGATCTTGCAATTTTAATTGCCTATACTGATTCAGGCCCTTTGAATTTCCCATCAGGGTAGCACTATTTTTATACTCTTGTGTGCTCCATACACGAGGCCAGCAGAATGAAATTTGCATCTCCCTATTTGTCTAGAATGTATGACTTCTCTTAAATATATTTATGGTACAAGTGAGCTACCACCCTTATTTGTCTTAATCTGGGAAGCTATTTTTTAAGTTCATTTATTGGATGTGAGTTTTGCTCACAAAAATCAATATTTATTGCTCATCCTTAATTGACCTTAATTTGATAGTGAGCTACCTTCTTGAGCTGTTGATGTCTGTGTGCTGAAGGTACTTCCATGGTGCTGCTAATTAGAAAGTTACAAGATTGGACTCAGCAACAGTAAAGAAATAGCACTATATTCCCAAGTCAGGATGGAGTGTGACTTGGAGGGGATCCTTCAGGGTGGTGGTGTTCTCAACCTTTTCTTCATGTATCATGAGTTTGGAAAGCCCTGCCAAAGAAGCTGTGTCAAGTTACTGTAATGCATCTGTACTTTGTCACTGGTGAAGAGCGGGAATGTTTAAGATGCTGATTTGGGTACCAGTCAAAAGTGCTTTAACCTGCATGTTGTGAGCTTCATGAGTGTTAGAGCTCTATTCATTCATGTAAATGGAGGGAATTCCATTACACTCCTAACACGCCATGTGCAGACAGTGCCAAAGCATTTGGGAAAGCAAGAATTCAGTTTCTTGCTGTAGAATACACGCTCTCCAATTTGCTGTTGTAGCCACAGTATTTCTCTGGTGCAGTTCAATCTGCTCAAAATGATGAAAAAAATGTTTGTGCCCTTCCCTGAAGAATTGCTGCTTTGGAATCTTGGGAGAGAAGTGATTGACTGCCTGTAACCACAATGACTTTTCTGTGTGCTAATTACAACTCCAGCAATGGAAAAGTTCTCTCCGATTCCCACTAACTTCAGTTTTGCTGCGGTTCTTGATGTCATCAGCAGTCACACTTGCCTCACCTCTGATAATCAGCTCCTTCATTTATGTGTGGACTGTTATCATGTCTAGAACCAAGCAGTCTTGGTGGTACCCAAACTGAACATTGTTGAGCAGTTACTAGTGATCAAGTACCACTTGACAGAACTTCCATTACTTTGGTACTTAAGAGTAGGTCGATGGGATTGTAAGTGGCTCATTTAGATATACCTTGCTTTTTGTGGAGCAGACAAACTGAACAATTTTCCACATTGTTGGATACACGATATTGTTGCAATTACATTTGAATAATGGGTGACGAGGTGACTAATTCTGGAGTATGGACTTTCAGCCCTCAATATCCTTGGTCAGTTAGAGTTAACATACGGTTTGAACCAAAATTTAGTTACAGACTGGCAAATATGATGTTGTGTATCTCAAAGAGAAGGTTGGATAGATTGGTCGCTGGGTGTTTCTGGCGGAAGATAGCTGAAAATGCTTCAGCCTTTTCTTAAGCAATCGGGATGGTCTTATTGACAATGTGGATATTCATGGAGCCATCTCCTCCCATCAGTAGTTTTAGTTATCCACCATCTTCATGCATGCATGTGCATAATTGGATATAAATTGTCCCATTGGGAACACCCAGCATGGGTTCATGAAGGGTAGGTCATGTTTAACTAATTTGGTGGAATTCTTTGAGGACATTACTTGCATGGTGGACAATGGGGAACCTGTGGATGTGGTGTATCTGGATTTCCAGAAGGCATTTGACAAGGTACTACACCAAAGGCTGCTACGTAAGATAAAGTTGCACGGTATTACAGGTAATGTATTGGCATGGATAGAGGATTGGTTGACCAGTAGAAAGCAAAGAGTAGAGGTAAATGGGTGTTTTTCTGGTTGGCGGTCAGTGGCTAGTGGTGTGCCTCAGGGATCAGTGTTGGGACCTCAATTGTTTACAATTTACACAGATGATTTGGAGTTGGGAATTAAGTGTGGTGTGTCAAAATTTGCAGATGACACTAAGGTGAGTGGTAGACCAAAGTGTGCAGAAGACACTGAAAGTCTGCAGAGGGACATAGATAGTCTAAGTGAGTGGGCAAAGGTCTGGCAGATGGAGTACAATGTTGATCAGTGTGAGGTCATCCATTTTGATAGGAATAACAGTAAAATGGACTATGTTTTAAATGGTAAAAAATTGCAGCATGCTGCTGTGCAAAGGGACTTGAGTGTCCTTGTGCATGAATCGCTGAAGGTGGGATTGCAGGTGCAGCAGGTGATTAAAAAGGCAAATGCAAATGGAATTTTGTCTGCCATTGCTCGAGGGATGGAGTTTAAAAACAGGGAGGCTATGCTGCAGCTGTATAGGGTCCTGGTGAGACCACACCCGGAGTACTGTGTGCAGTTTTGGTCTCCTTACTTGAGAAGAGATATACTAGCACTGGAGGGGGTGCAGAGGAGATTCACTCGGTTGATTCCAGAGTTGAGAGGGTTGGATTATGAGGAGAAACTGAGTAGACTGGGCTTATACTCATTGGAATTCAGAAGAATGAGGGGAGATCTTATCGAAACCTATAAGATTATGAAGGGAATAGATAAAGTAGAGGCAGGGAGATTGTTTCCGCTAGCAGATGAAACTAGGACTAGAGGGCATCGCCTCAAAATAAAGAGAAGCAGATGTAGGACTGAGGTCAGGAGGAACTTCTTCACCCAAAGGGTTGTGAATCTGTGGAATTCCCTGCCCAGTGAAGCGGTTGAAGCTACCTGGCTGAATGTTTTTAAGGCAAGGCTAGATAAATTTTTGAACAGTAAAGGAATTAAGGGTTATGGTGAGTAGGCGGGTAAGTGGAGCTGAGTCTCAAAGATCAGCCATGATCTTATTAAATGGCGGGGCAGGCTTGAGGGTCCAGATAGCCTACTCCTGCTCCTAGTTCTTATGTTCTTATGTTCAATTTTGTTGGCGTATTGCTTCATGTGTTTAGCATGTAAAAATTTCTTATGTTGGAGGTTCATCCGGATGGCACCTTTTTTTAAGGTACAGCTGGTAATGCTCTAGGCATGCTCTTCTACACTCCTCGTTTAAGCAGAGTTGATCTCCAGGCTTGATGGTAATGAAAGAGTGAGATTGATTGTATGTTGAGCTTTTTAGTTATATGAATATCCAGTTTTGAGCTTCTTTATCTGTTCACAATGTTCAATCACAGCCTACTGGAGGGTGTCCTCAGTGTAAAGATGGAACTTCTACCAAGACTGTAAAGGACAGATGTGTCTGCAACAGGTAGAGTGGCGAGGGTGGGATCAAGTAGGTTAATCTTTTGTGTCATTTTTCTTATTACCTTCATCACTATTCCTATCTATGTCTTATTCCACCAACAACTCTTATCACCCATCATAACCCCAATCTAGCACTTAATCCTTTAGGGATCAGCCAACTAAGTCTGTAGTTGTGCTACTACGTGAATCTTACTGATGTATTTGGACAGCCCCCACCTAGCTTACTTAATTGTATTCTTTCTACCCTCTGTTTCTTGCAAGTGGTGCTCAACATGGAGAAGAATTGATTGACAAGCTGATGAAGAATAGGAGTTGTTAATTAGGTGGAGGTTTTCTCACTCATATTTACCTGATGCCATTTGACCTTCAGACTTAAAGCCAGTATTAATGACTTCCTGGTCCATTCCCTCCCAGCTGTATGCCACTATGCTCCCACTTCTAATTGGACCAGTTGTGTTGATGGATCAAGACATAGCGAGGAATAGTGATGAATCACCTCAGGATGTTGTTTGAATGATACAATTCTGACAGTATGACTCTTTCTGGTGTTGGTTGATTAGTCTACGGTACATCTTATAATTTTGGGGCAAGTCCCTTGGTGCTATTGGCTTTCCAGGGTTAATTTGAATGGATGTATCGTAGTCCTACCTGATGCTTAAGTATTTACGAGATGGACCCTTTGGTTTTATTCTTATTAGTTATTACACAATTTGATATATCTGATTGGCTTACTAGGCCTTTTCAAAGGGCAGTTAAATATCAAACCATTGCTATACATCTAGAAGTTCACATAGACCAAACTTAGAATAACAGGTTTAGGAGCATAGGAGCAGGATGAGACTATCGAGCCCGCGAGTGCTCCATTGTTCCAGATCATGGCTGATTGACCACCTCCATGTTGTGTTTCCATTCTATCCCCAAATTCCTAATGTTATTAGTAACTAGAAGCCTGTCAGTCTGTATCTTGAACTGACTTAATGAGTGAAATGCCACAGTTCCCTGGGGGAGAGAATTCCATAGCTTCACCACCTTTAGATGAAGAGACTCCCTTCATCTCAATCTAAATAGTTTGCCTTTTATTCTGAAACTGCAAATCCTGATTCTCAATTCCACCAAGCAGGGGAAACATTCTTTCTGCATCTACTCTGTCTATCCCTATAGGAATTTTGTAATTTTCAATGAGATCACCTCTCATTCTGCTAAAATGCACAAAATACAGTTCTGATCTCCTTAATTTTAACTTGTAAGTAAGAGCCTCCATCTCACGATCTGTCTGTTGGACCTGTGCTAGATTCCCTCTTGGTAAATATATCCTTCCTTAGGCAAAGACATCAGAACTGCACAACTCCTGGTGCAGTCTCACAAGTATTCCCTAAAATTAAAACAAGATTTCTTTGCTCCTGCACTCAAATCTTCTTGCAATGAAGGCTGACATAGCGTTT